ACCGTAACCGAACCTTCGGTCGGACACTACTTGTGAGTCTGGCAGGCCTCCGTAATTGTAATTGTCAGCCAGACGTGTATTTTCACTTACGAATATTTTGAAATTTATCCTAAGTAGATGGATAATGTTCTTAAAATATGCGTGAGTGTGCAAAAATTTACTGATAATAATTTAGGCACGTTCGGTATTGGGTAAGAAAGTTTTACACCAAATTATCCAAATTTCAAAACTTAACAGACATGCATTAAAACGACTAAAATCAAATTTTCAAAGGTTCTGAAAGATACTTTGCCATACCACAGAATATAAAACATATGTTTTATATGATGTGGCCATACCATGACCATTTGTCATATTTGAAGTCGTTTAGTTGACGCGAAAAACCTAATTATTATTTTACATAAAATAAATGTAGTGTATTTCTACCTAGTTATAATTGGTATTAAATAAAATATTAACCACTGAAACGGCAAATTTTTTATATGCATGAAAGAGCTGCTCAACTGTCAAAAAAAATTCAGTATAATTTCGTTCAGGGTACCCACCAAAAGAAAAATTTCCTGAAATTTTTCTGGTTGTCATGAAAGTGTTTTAAAATAAAAGCAGTTGATTGGCTACAAAATGGAGGTGTAAAATTATAATTTAATATATCACGTGACAAATTTTCAAACCCGGGAAAATAAAAGCAAAAATATTATATTTTTTTCATTTAGAAGATATTACCAGACTCATTAGCCAATTTCGTAAATCAGCCAGACTTATTATTATAAACAGTTAATGATTGTATCAATTTATATGCTCAATTTTCTGCCACACTCACGTTCCACTATCTGAGATAATCCAAACTGTCATTTTTATAAGCTTTATGTTCTAGTTTAGTAAATGTAAAATAGTTATGACTGGGAAAATAAGTGTCAGACTCAAAAATTTTGTTTTTTGTCACTAAGAGAACATTTTATTTTTCATATACACCGACTGGAAAAATGAATACGAAAAAAATTCACTGCCTCCTGAACTAAATGTAAAATTGCAGAATCAAATGGCACGATTCTTTTTATTTTTTAATTTCTGTTCTGAAATCTGAAATGTTTGGGTGGATGTGCGATAAATGTTCGAATTATTTTTGGGGGGGCTAATTTGGTTTTTGGGGGGGCTTATCCCCCCCAAGCCCCCCCTTAACTTCGCCCATGTTAACATGTGATTTAATGTGAAAAGTCCGCAATTTCGATTACACCTAGCAAGAAGAAATTGCAAGAAACTTGTTAGGTTTTTTTTCCAAAATATGAGTACAAAAATATGCATATACTAAAACAACATGAAAACTTCCTAAAAATAAAGATGTAATAGATATGTGTAAAACAAAACTATAAAACTTGTTTTCTTTATGCTGGAAAGTAATCTTTCTCAATTTTTCTTTTTGAGTTCGTTGACTTGGTGTTATTTTCACCCAGTATTCCAATTATTTGCTTCATGCACCTTAAAATAAAGTTTTTTTTTTTAAGAATATTGTCAGACTTATGCAATGGGAACTTACTTAGTTTTCTTATCTGAATTTCTCAAGAATTTTGAAAGTGTTTCAATTTATTCCATCCTCTCTTCATCTACTGGTACAGGTTCTTGATTTTTATTTCTTCCATAAACTTACTATTTTCTTCATGATGCTCATTCTTAACGTTTTCTGTTGCTAGCATGTCAACAACCTCACCTAAAACAGAATCGCTCCCCTTCTCGGGCTAATACAAATTTACCAAGTGTATATGTTTACACATAAGTTTTTACAGAATATTAAGACACACTTGTGAATGAATGCAAACTTTGCATAATCTACAACACTGTAACAATGCTCACCTAGCTCCATGCCACCTCTACTGAGGGCCCATAATTCCGCCACATATTACAAAAAATCGCTAAAACTTGACCTTTCTATAATAGTAAAAGAGTAATTAAAATGTACTTCTATAAAATAAGACAATTAGAATGTTGAATAATAAAAACTGAAGAAAACATTAGGTCTTACTCATCAGATGCAACAGTTCTTAACAAATGGTCGTGCAATAAACCATTTATCACAACCTGTTCCTCTTCTGTAGGTTTTTTGAAATATTCTGTACGGTTCAGTTTTCTCCTTTTCGTTGAAAAAAATGTGGCTTGTTTTTTTATTTTTTTGTTTTCCGGTTCTCTAATTGTTGATTCTAAAGGTGAGAAGTTTGGATTTACATTTTCATTCATATTCATAATTTTTTTGCCACTTTAAGATGCTGATTTATTGTAGTTACTGTTTCATAAGAGAGATTTTGGCCTTCTAAATTATTTATAATTGAAATTGCATCATCTTTAATTTCTTGTTTCTTAAGTTCTAATGTAAATTCATTTTTGCAAAGCGATTTAGCAAGTTTTATAGAACTGCAAGGAATATCATTAGTGTCGTTTGTTATTGTATCCGATAAAGTTTGGATATTTGAAACCTGGTCATTTAAAACAAAGAAATGAATATGCACACATATTATTGATCTAATTAAAAAGTCTATACAAGAACATTTAAAAGCATGTAAACATATATTGCAAAAATTGCATTTGATTTGGCAACAATTTGATTTAATCTCATTTTTTATGATTTGATATTGTTTCTTTGTTTTAACGTCCCTTACAAAGATTTCATTTTGTGGATTCCGCCATATAGCGTAATCTTCCTTTAAGGCTGCAGCACGATGCATTGAATGAATTTTCATCATGTGTTTAGTTGTTTTTCCCTTTGTTAATTTAATGAGACGTTCTACACATTTATCATGTAAAAAAATTAAGAGCATGTTAATGCTTTTATTAAAACCATTTATGATGCCCTCTGGCTTCAGTCTGACCTTGATAATCCATCAAACTGGTGTTCCTTAAATGGCATGGACTTGAATGCTATAAAGTGCCATGTCATGCGCTTTTATCGATCCCATGTACCAACTACTACTTTTGATTACAACTTAAATGGTCATATCTTGGAGTGTGTTAATCAAATTAAAGACCTTGGAGTTATTCTAGATCCCACTTTAAGCTTTAATCAACATATACCTAAGGCTATCCATAAATCCATGAAAATGTTAGGTTTTATCAAAAGGCTAACGCATGATTTTACTGACACAACTGCAATTAAAGTCCTTTATTGTTCACTAGTCCGACCTCACCTAGATTATTGCTCTTCTGTCTGGTCTCCACATTACATAACGCACAGCAGAAACATAGAAAATGTGCAAGATACATTTCTTAGATACATAGCCTATAAATTGTGAGTATAATTTGAATTTTCTAAACATCCTCTCTTTGGAAAATAGGAAGAAACAGAGAGACCTGACATTACTTTTCAAAATTATCAATGGCAAATGCAGCTGTACTAAACTTCTAACAAAAATAAATCTTAATGTTCCAACGCGCTCAACTCGACAACAACAAACATTTTATGTACATTTTTATCGTTTAAACCATACTTTTAGCAGCTGTATTCCGGTGAAGCCGACTGACAGCGCCACAGCCGAGACGATTCCTGTCTCGACGTTGGCGCTTTCGGGAGGTTTTACAGCTCGGTAGTCCTGTGAATTGTGACAATAACGAAGACTATCGAAAGATCAACGTACAATGCTGACAACCCTGTTTTTTCCTAGCTTTTCAGGGGACACTGACCAAACTAAATCCCGACAAATCTTTAAACTATGACACTTACTGACGAAAACTACACCACAACCCCTCAATAATGCCTCCCTGGCAAGGAGTGAGGGCTGCTATGTTTAGCCTAACCTTTATTTTTTAGCATCAAAAAGTAAAACGGGTGAAATCTTCGCCATAGGCCAGGCAGGACCCTGCCACGCCGACCCAAGTCCCGAACGGGAGTTGTGTATTGTTTTATTTTTGTGTTGTACATATACCATTTTAAAAATGTAAATAAAGTTTATAAAGAAAGATCGTTTAAACCATACTTTTAGCAGCTGTATTCCAAGAATGTTAAGATTAGCCAACACTCATAACGATATTCGAGATTTTAATAATAATTTTAAAATTGTAATTTATTTCTCAAATGTGCTTGCCCGTAAATAAATAAAAAATAAAAATAAAAAATAATAATTTTTTAGTCAAACTAGCAAGATGACAATTAATGGTTGTCAACGATACGTAAAATAAGCTATTTTTTAACTGTGAAAAAATAGTACATTGTGCAACGAATGTAGAAAATAGCCAATTCAACATGATATGTTAAACTTGTAGCACAAGAGAATGCGAATCACATTTTACAGCCTTTAACCCCCTATTTTTCAGAAAAATCCATCCCGCATATAAATTTGCAGACTTACTTGCACGCACAATTTTTCTAACTAGGTATATGGTTTAAGATGGATGCCGTGTTCTATTTTCTTCTAGTTGACTACATATAAAAGACGTCAATAAAATTATTTCCCGAATCTATTAAGTAGGCGACATATTATTTTATTTCTGTCTATTCAATCGCATTGTGTTTCTATACTGTTCTCTTGGAGTCAGTATTGGAAAGTTAACGTTTTCTATAAATACCACTAAATTCGCTTAAAAATTTACTCATAATTGATATGACTACGTCAAAATTTTCTGCTATAATTTCCCGGCTACTAATAAAAGATTCTCCCACAATGAATGGGAGGGATACTCTACACAGAGATATAGAAATAGAAGATATCATCCTGTTTTGATTTGCCCTGTATAGTTTTAATTAAATTACTATCTCGATTTAAATTGTTGATGTGCAACTTATTTTGAACCCATAAATCTATGATAGCTCACTCTACACACAATTTCCGGACACCCTGTATATCATACGATTATTGGTTTTCCCACCAGAGCAATAATTGTTGATCTGTGGGTAGTTTTGTCTGAATTTACTTGTATAGGTATGTCTTCATTCTCAAAAAAGCTGCAAGAGGTCAAGAACCTCATCCGATGCAGGTACCCAAGGTTGATTTTTATCAAAACGTTAGTCGTGTGTGGATGTTAATGCAAACTGCGAAAAAATGCGTGCGGTTTGAAACGCTCGATTCGAATGTTTATTATTTTTTATTATCAAATATTTATTAGGTAATTTTGCTTTTTACAAGGTAAAAATAAACGTTTTTATCGGAAACCGGTACGAGCCAGAGTAGCAGAGTAAATAAACTTTTAAATAGCCATCCAGTATCATTTAGTTCTTCGAGCGGTTAGTGTGCAAACATTTTAGAGCCTTATTTTAGAGGTGAGTACCTAAGTACCTAGATCGTTTTGGAGTTTTTATTCGTTCCATCAGCTCTACCGTTAGTAGGTAGGTACTGCACATATCTATTCTATAAGTACTTCAAAATAAAGAATAAAGTAACGTAAACTAATAATAAATTCTCCCTTTAATTCACCCCCTTACAAGTAAATTTTAGACCCAAAATCAGTAGTTATTAAATGAGATTTGTTTCAACATGACTTCTACATTATTCTACATTATTTGTTGACCTTTTTTGCGACTGAATTATTTTAGATAAATGTTGCCAAAACCACACAAAACATGAATTAATTGTTCTACATTCACTGCATTTAGATGATACGTTAGTTAGATACTAATATATTTTTCAACTGTGCTGATATTCTGAAAACATTAGATTTTAGGAAACATTTTAAAGCAAATTTTACAGTTTTAAATAGTTTTTCACATATTAAATAAATTTGTATTAGTATTACATCTTCTAATTAATTTTAAAACCATTTGTATCCTTTATATTCTGAACATTTTCTAAATATGCTGGATAAGTATGTGATAAATATATATAATTAGTACATACCTTAAAGAATAGTCAAAATTAACAATCTACAAATCGATTATCTGGCATTTAAACTACTGTTCATCTATATTTGCGACCACTATCGAAAAAACTGTACTTCAAAAAAGTAGAATTGTTTTACAAGTAGGTATATTGAAACGATATTACAAGCAACAGAATTATTGTCTAATAAACTAATGTTATTTTTAAATACAATGACTCTTGTATATAAAATAAAACACAAATTACTTCCTGAACATTCATTAAGAAACATTAGATATATTATAACAGATCTACATAACTATCTAACCTGAGACAAAGAAGACTTATGTTTCTACAGTTTTACCATCAACTGATCTTTTCCACAATGGACTTTTTCAATACAGTAATTTACCTCATAGTGTGAAGAAGGTAAACATTATTCAGATATATAAGAAAATATGTACTTTAATACTGTACAGATAATATTAACTTATAGTCAAATGTAATTGTTCAAATTATATTATTTATAAAATTGTTAGCAAATGAGGTTTTTTTTAAATAATAAAAAACAAGTAATTATGAATTAATTATGATTATAACAACTACTCTACAGCACCATATTTATCATTTTATTATAGTGTTAGAACCTCTATAAAATGCCTAATGTTATTATTTTTAAGTTGGTACTGTACAATGACAGATGACATTCTTGACATTATGTTTATTGATTATTCTGTGTGTGAAGCCCACTGTTGCTATTACAATAAAAGTTAATCCTGATTTTATTTAATTAATCCTGTGTGGATAATTTACCTGTGTGATCTTATGATCAACCCTCGGTCAGGTTTATTACATTTCAGAAGTAGGATCTGAATGCCATCACGTATTTTCGTAGATATTCGACTTCAAAAAAAAATACGGCGTGTCGGTTCGGTAAAACTTTCAAACTATTAATAAAAATAAAGGTGAATAAACGTTAGAAAGTGGACCTTCTGTGTGCGGTCTCAAAACTCTTAAACCTGTGTGAATTGCTAATAAACAAAACTGAAACTGTGTGAATTCGAAACGACAAAAAAAAAAAATAAACAAAATGTCTTCAAATGCAGATAATGGGCATGAAACCGATAGCTTGGATGGTCACGGTAACTTTAATGACGAAAACTTACAAGGTAGGATTAACCATTCAGATATTTATGTTCAAAGAATGATGGATATGTTTATTTCCGAAAATCGCAGACGCGATGAAATGTTCATGTCAGTTTTAGAACGCCTAACTCCTAATTCAAATAATCAGGAAGATAACAATGCATCAGCTGTTTCTTCAGCCTCTCATACACATCATGTTTTACCAGATTTATCACGTATAATAGGGTATTTTGATGGTGATAAAGATTTGTATAAAGCTGAAAAATGGATAAACAGTTTAGAAACTAGTAGACGATTAAATCAGTGGTCAGATAATTACTTACTTGAAACTGCTAGGGCTTATTTAAAGGGACCAGCTACACACTGGTTTGATGTAAAACGTGAATTAATATTTACTTGGAATGATTTTAAAAAAGAGTTCGAAAAGACTTATATTAGAACAGAAGGGATTTCAGAAAAATGGGAAAAGATGAAAAATAGAAAACAAAACAAAGGGGAAAGTATTATGTCATATTTTTATGAAAAAGTCGAACTGTGTAAAAAATTAAATTTACAATTTGATGATTGTAAGGAAGAAATTTTAAATGGGTTATTACAAAAAGAAATAGCATTAAGCTTAATGGTAAAAATTCACTACGATTTTGATTCATTATTAAAAGACATTTTAGCTATTGAAAGAATTAAAAACACTAGTAAGCCAGAGCGAAATATTCAGATTGTAGAAAATCAAAAACCTTTTTATAATAATAGTACTTATAGACAAAGAAAATGCTACAAGTGTGGGTTAATAAATCATACATCTGAGCAATGCACACGTAAAAATCCAGTATGTTTTACTTGTAAACAAGAAGGTCATGTTGTGTCTAATTGTCCAAATGAAAATAAACGATTTATTCCTAGAGGACAAACTGCAAACCCTGCAACTTTTAATTCAAATACAGCTACACGTCAGCATATCCGAATATTAAATGATAGTGCACCTGCATTTAATGCAAATAATGATCTGTTAGGGGAAAGTAGGGCAAATGTGAACTCAATTGAAAAACAAATTGATATTAATAATCTTGACAAATGCTCTGAAGGCAAGTTTTTGAAAAATGTTTTAATCAATGATTCAATTTTGGTAAAAGGGTTTATTGATACTGGTAGCTCTGTATCTACTATAAAAAATAAAATTGTGGAAAAATTCAAATTAAAAACGGTAGATGTAATACAGCCATTGTATGCTTTTGGTGGTAATTCACAACCAGCTATATATTCACCTGGAAAAGCGTATGTAAAATTGCAAATAGATTTAGCAGTTATTGAGAATATCGATTTATGTATAGTTCCTGATAGTGCACAGGACACAGATTTAATTATTGGTAGAAATTTTTGTGAACTACCGAATATCGCTTGTGTCAGCAAAGGTGAAGAATTAGTTTTTGGATTTGCAGAAAATCAGCCATTCAAAGATTTAGATATTGATGTTATAATAAACTCAGTGCCTCATAGATTTAAAACTATATCTGATACTAAAATTTCAGCATTTTCAAAACGAGATGTAAATGTTATTAAAAATAACGAAAACAAAATTTTGAGAATATACAATACTAGCGACAAAGCCTTTGAATTAAAATCTAATCAAGAATTCAAAATTTTAGAAAATCCTGAAAAGCCAGAACATATTTTAAATCAAAATGAATTTAGTTACAATCCGCTTACAAAAGACATGGTAAATATTGCTAGTAATGTTTCAATTGATAATAGCGAGAATTTGATTAACTTACTTAATGAATATCGGGACTGTTTTGCTTTAAAATTAAACGAGTTGGGTTGCACCGATTTAACAAAAATGGATATAGTTGATACAAATGTTCCCGTTAGATGTCAGCCATACAAAGTTTCATCTGCCGACCGTGAGACTATAGCAAAAATTGTAGAGGACTTAAAAGATTGTGGTATAGTTACTGAAACTACAAGTCCATATGCATCTCCAGTTCTAATAGTACGCAAGAAAAATGGTGATCCACGATTAGTAGTCGATTTTAGAAAACTAAATAAACAAACTGTACCTGTGAATTTTCCAATGCCCAATCTTGATGAGCAATTTCAATATTTATCTGGTAGTAAAATTTTTGCATGTTTAGACTTAGCAAATGGTTATTTACAAGTGCCGTTAACAGAAAACGCGAGCAAAAAGACTGCCTTTATAACACCGGATACTACGGGCGAATATAAACGAATGGTTTTCGGGCTTACTAATGCACCGTATGAATTTGTGCGTCTTATGAACATTGTATTAGGGCCACTGCGAAATAAAATATGTTGTTCTTATTTGGACGATGTCATAGTTCCCGCGAAAGACTGGAATCAGCTTTTAGAACGGTTAAAACTAGTGCTCGAAGCTTTTCGGAGTGCCAAATTGACACTTAATCCAACGAAGTGCGTTTTCGGTAAAACGGAAATTGAATATCTCGGATACACAGTGTGTGAACAAGGACTAAAACCGGGCTCAAATAAACTTTTAGCTTTGCAAAATTTTCCAGAACCTACTAACGTACATGAAGTGCGCAGATTTTTAGGACTTTCAGGGTTTTTCCGCCGATTTATTGAAAAGTACGCAGTAATTGCCAAACCATTAACGGACTTAACAAAAAAAGGTTGTGATTTTAATTTTAATCGCGAATGTCGAGACGCGTTTGAAAAACTCAAAAACATTTTAACTCAAGCTCCCGTACTAAAATTATATGATTTTAATGCCGAAACCGAATTACACACGGACGCATGTTCTATTGGAATAGCGGGTATACTCCTTCAAAAAGACGAAAATGGTAAAAATAGATTAGTATATTGTGTTTCAAAAAAGTTAACCGAACATGAAAGCAAATATCATTCTACAAGACTGGAATTATTAGCGGTAATATGGAGTGTAGAACGTCTTAGAAACCTACTCATCGGAATAAAATTTAAGATCATTACAGATTGTCAGGCGATCGTATTTTTAAACAATAATAAAAGTACCAACCCCCAGACTGCACGTTGGTTTAGTACACTACAAGAGTATGACTATGCATTTGAATTTAGGAAAGGAGATCGAATGGCCCATATAGATGCTTTAAGCAGAGCACCTGTAGAAGAATCAACTGATACACACGATCAACTCCTAGATAAAAGACTAACAGTTCTTACTACACTAACTGAAGAATCCCAAATTATTATGATCCAGAGAAGTGATGAAAAACTAAAACCCATTATAGATATATTAACAAAAACTTCCAGAGAAAGAAGTAAAGAAGAAATAAATATGACAAAAGAATATAAGCTAATCTCAGGAAGA